ATAATTTTTATTTAATTAATTAATGCACCAAAGAATATAGACTAATAACATGCAAAAAAGTAGACAAATTCTCTTACCTCTTAAAATTTTTCTGTCTTTCTAACTATGTGACAAGAGTTGTTACAAATTCATCCAAGCTAGTCATTAATTTTCTCATGGGAACGATGTTGGTACTTTAAGAGAAATTGAAATTTAACCGTTCAGAATATAATGTTATACATTATTTGATAGATGAAAACTTTAACTTTCTATTTGTTATAGGTAATATATAATTAAATGTAAGAGAGAAGTATTAACCAATTCTGAAAGAGAGGATGTGACATGTAGGTGTGGTAGGAGGGATCTGATTTTCTATTTGATAGTTCTGTAACCAAACAAAATTGAAGACTATAAAGATTATGGTTTGTCTGAGCAACGATAATTTTATAGAGAGTAATTTACGTTTAATTTCATACTTTTGAGGGGTGATGGATAAAATAGGGAAGATGACATGATAAAAGAAAATGTGTCACGTGGGTCACACTAGGGGAGATTCCGGGATTTTTAAATATTGCTTTGTAGAACTTAAAACTTGTATACTATCAAAATATGAATTATTAACTAAGATTTTATGCTATTTTAATTGGTATAACATAAACAAAAAGTAGTTTAATAAAATTTTGAATGTAAGGCACTAAAACCATTTATCATGCGCAGTAAAGGATACCCGTGGCGACAGGGTTAATTTGATAAAGAAAAATATGAGTAATGATCATTGATACATTTTCTATTTACAAGAAAAACACCACATAAAAATGTGAGAAAAATAAAATTCACATTTCAAGAGACAAGGAAGAGGTTGGCATCTCTAACCTGGCTAGTTAAGATATCCAACTGCTTTACTATCTCCATTTTCTCACTTTCTAGCTCTCTACTAGCTAATGTCAAAGAACTGATCTCATTTTCAAGGGTTTTTAGTTCAGTTTGTTGAGATTTAATCTGTGAATCTTTCTGAGCAACATCCACTTCAAGCTGCTGTTTTGTCCTATGATCAAACATAAAGAAAAATGGTAATGATGTAGCAAAATATAATAATAAAATTTTGTTTTCAATCAATTTATGCATGGTTAAGCATTTTCTCACCTTAAAAGCTCTATAACATTTATAGTATTCATTTACTTACTTCTGTAATTCACTGACTTCTAGCATCAAAGTGTTAAGTTCTTTACTGCCAGTTGACAGAGGTGTTCCTATTGAAGGGGACATGGAATCATCCTGTCAATATACTGAATTATTAATTATACTGAAATAGTATGAGAAGGATTTATTTTTCCAAATTGCTTAGAGTAACTAAATATTAATTTTTTAAATATATACAAGAAACATGTAAAATATAAAAACTGTCAAGTTTGATTAAATAAAATATATATCTTATAAAATCATCTATATTCAAGCATATCTAGATGTTATAATTACATACATTTCAAATAAATTTAAATATGTATTTAGAGTGCTCAGATATCTTTTATGCATTTTTATTATTGATATTTCATTTCTGTATTAGGCATTAGGTTCTAGTAAAAGTTTTGGGATAATACACATATATACTACCATGGCAAATACAGAAAGACTGGTGCATATGGTGATAGAATACAAGTTACACATGTTGTGACAAAGATAAACACACCTTAATAAAACATAAAAGTTAGATCTTCAGTGAAAATGGTACACTAAAAAATATGAAACTCAACCATTATGTTGAAACTGCATTGGCTGTAATGTACAGGGGAATGTTTATCTATATAAATGTAATAGTACTGTCTGTTGTTTGTCCATGTAACTACTTTGCAGGGTGTGGATGGATCTTCACCAAAATTGGTATGTTCATTTGGTCCATGCTGGGGTAAACACAAGTTTTCAGTTTTGCATTTTGCAGTTTTTATGGGTGTTTTTTACAATTACAACTTTTCATGTCCTAAATTAACCTTTCATTAATCATGAATTTCCATAACTTCTATCCAGGGGACAGGTACTCCAGCTAGAGATAAATAAATTACAAACCATAACAACATTGTTCTACAGAGTAAAGTTATAAGCAGCTACAGAAAACAAAATTAAAACCTCCCAACAAAGGAGGATAAACATAACAAATGAAATGGAGAATGCAATTCACAGGACACAAAAAATTTATAGCAGTAAATGGAAAAATATAAAAACAACACAAATTAAAGTAGATGCTCCAAGCAACAGCAGTAAAGAGAGAAATACTGAGTGACTCTGATAAATGATAGCAGGAGTATCATTAAACATGACTCATAAAATGTGATCACAGACGTAAGCAGGCAAATACCACATAACAGAACTTAAGTTTGTAACATGCTTATGGATTTAAACAATAAAATAGCATAACAATACTTTCTGTTTGTCAACAAAGCAATGGTTATAAACAAAAAAATTTAAGATAATACACATTACAGGTTGTTGTTATAGAAGTAGTAACATTAAAAAAGAAAATATTACATCAATAAGGTTTTGATTAAACTGAAAGTAATAAAAAAAAATATTACTGAAGCAAACTCACAGGTTGTGATCGAAGTGATGGTGGAACCATATCAGGTGTTAGCTCTGTAGGAATGTCTCCACCTTGTAGCTTTTGATATATCATATGCATAGCTAGAGCAAACTGTTCAGAATTTAACTTTCCTGAACAATTTATGTCACAAAGATTCCTAAAGAACAGAAATTTAAAAAACAAACATTAATTATTTAAAATGTTAGTAATAATTACAGGTAAAAAGAATATATCAAATGAAACTATTTCTCCAAGTGAAAATAACAAACCTATATAGTTTATCAATGCAATTATAACTTAAAAGAAAGAAAAATAAATGACTTTTTTTTTTCTGTTTGACAAAGCATACCAACTAACCAGACATGGGCCAACAAAATCTGTGGAAGTCCTGACTGAAGAAATACACCTTTCACATCTCCTCCCAGAACAAAACCATCACGATCTTGATCAAGAGATCGAAATATTTCATCGTATCTTGTTTTTTCTGCAGCATTAACAATCCATGGTGTTGTTGGTTTATTTGTGGCCTGAAAAAGTAAAAGAGTAGGAACATAGCACGATTCCACATGAATGGATAAATTTAATACAAGAGTTAAAAATTGAATTATAGGACAATTATAAAGTGTAGACTTCAAAAAAAGAAAATCATACTATATTAGATAAGACTATAAAAACATACTAGTTTGATCTTTGTAGTTATTCTTTAGAAGGCCTACTTTTAACTAATTTACAAAATATGAATGCCTTTGCATTTCGACAAACAGTGGCTAAGAAGTTATAAAAATCTACTATAAAATGTACTGAAGAACATCAAACAGTAAAAACTTGTTCACTAGTACCCTCTAAACTCATTCAACATGGTTAATTATAAGTATGCAAGAATCCCCATTCATATCTATAAACTAACTATATATTTTTCCTTTTTGTTTCAGATTAAACACTAGTGGTTTTAACTTCCACTTCATGTCATTTCTATACAGTTATACAATGAAATTCAGATAAGTTTATTTTTACTGTGAAAATCACAGAAAGTTTCAATCACCGAATCTTCAAACAAAGGTTGAAATTGTCAATACTGTTTTGAAAAGTAAACAGAAGTAATGCAACGTAACCAAAGGTTGTGGAAACGCAAAACTTTTATTTCATTTTTAAAGATAAGATTTTATTTAATGTTCTACCAACAGAATACATTTCAAATTTGTTTGTTTTAAAGCAAAGCCACACGGGGCTATCAGCTGTGTGCACCATAAGAAATCGAACCCCAGATTTCAGCAATGTATACATTTCAGTATAAATACTATTAATGAGAAATAGCAACTTGTTTCAGATTCTGAAGATGCATTTTACCAGTGAATTACTAGATTGTCTGAAAAATTGCAGTTTTGACTGTAGTACACTATGGCTGGAACATGTAAAGCCCAAAAAAATTATTAAATTTCAAAAATGTTAGGAACAAATGTTGAATATAGAAGAGTCCTCAGTTGACTGGGTAACTATGACTTGCTGAATAGTTTAAAAACATACAGTAAAAGTTATTTTTAATGCCTATTTATCTTTATAATCTTTTACCTGAACAAAACCTTACATGTGATGTTGAGATTTGCCCAGGTAGACAAAATATAGTTTATTTAACCATGTTAGCTTATGCTAAAGTAAGTGAGGTTAAAATCTCCCTTTGCTTTGCTATTGAGCAATTAGCAAAACCAAGAAGTTTTGAGCATGTAAAAAAACTCTTCTAGTTGTCTATATAAACAGACAAGAAATATGGATGAAGAGTTACAGTTTTTCAAGGAAAGCAAAAGCTTGACAAAAGAATGGGATTTGAAACATAAAAAATCATGTTGAACAGGATAAGTGGTCTGCCAATCCAGTCCACTTATTTAAAGACTGAATGCAGTTAACTCACATTTATTATCTATACAAGTGAGATTCAACACTTAAAAGTATTCTAACTTCATTAGCATGTGAGACAGAGTTGAAGATCAGTGTTTTAATTTATATTTACCTGCTCAGAACAACTTAGAATTGTATAAATGTTGAAGGTATTTCACAGTCTATAAAATTTAAAACTCAAAAACAGCTTAAATGGATAGAAAAAATGCATCATTTAAAAACGTTTCGCCACTGTTAACATGACATCATCAGTATTCAACTCAATTGTACACAACATTTAAGCACACCCAATTGGTAATGTCAACAAACCTCGAGCTAACATAAGTAAAAACCTACTTCTTGTGTTTTATTTATTAAAGATTTGTATTACTTTATTAAAATGACTTCTTATATTTTATGTTTATTAATATTAGGTTCTCGACAAATAATTTTAACAATTTTATTTTTATTACAATGTTCTGTATCTTTAAAATGTTGGTAGACATGTGATGGAGCATGTCCATGTTCTGCTATTCTAGTACTTAAATTTCTACCAGTCTCTCCTATATAGAGAATATTACAGTCCATACATGTTGGTAAACATGTGATGGAGCATGTCCATGTTCTGGTATTCTATTACTAAATTTCTACCAGTCTCCCCTATATAGAGAATATTACAGTCCGTACATGTTGGTAGACATGTGATGCAGCATGTCCATGTTCTGCTATTCTAGCACTTAAATCTCTACCAGCTTCCTCTATATAGAGAATATTACAGTCCTTACATGTTGGTAGACATGTGATGGAGCATGCCCGTGTTCTGATATTCTAGTATTATATTTCTACCAGTCTCCCCTATATAGAGATTATTACAGTCCGTACATGTTGATAGACATGTGATGGAGCATGTCCATGTTCTGCTATTCTAGCACTTAAATCTCTACCAGTTTCCTCTATATAGAGAATATTACAGTCCTTACATGTTGGTAGACATGTGATGCAGCATGTCCATGTTCTGCTATTCTAGTACTTAAATTTCTACCTAGTAAAAATACAAATTTTCCTACAACTGGAAACTTATATAAATTATCTTTTGACAGCATAGTTCTAGTTTGCATTTCTCAGAAACTGTCAATGATTCAGCTTTCAGGAAATACTAATTTTTAGACAATGTATTCTTGTCAATCACAACATATTATTTCATTCATATTTACATATTTATCATGCACTGTTAATGCCTAAAATTGAAATGTTACTGAGTTATTACTGTACTGTTATTTTATTACATTGTTAAAAGCTTGACAAACACATTTTTTACAGGCAAATTGAGTTAAAGTCAGGGAATTATGTATACATCTAGACTATTAATGGAAGTTGGGTTGTATTTTGGGGGATGTTCCATGAACATCAGGAACTTGGCAGTTCTGGAGTTTTGTAATACATGAGCATTGTTCATTTTGTGAACAAAGCATTCATTATTTTTTAAGTAAAAAGATGATTGCACATTTCAATAAAAAAGTATAAGGAAACAAATCCATACATTTCACAAGTACAGGTCAGGTAGCAACATTGCTATTTATTAAATTACATTACAAATAACATTTTCAACAAAACCATAAAAAATATTATCTTGAGAATTAAAGCAACTGTGTAAAATTCAGTCAGACTAACCTTACTAAGACACACTGTGATACTTAGTCTTGCTACTAGTATTTGTCTACTTTAGCCTAAATGTGCATGTCTGTGGCTTATACATTCTAGTTCTATTCATTAATGATTATGTCAATATGTACTAAAGTGATGTAACTTCAGGTACAAACTAACAAGTACTAGCAGATGTAACCATATGTTGGATGATGATAAGTTCATGAAAGCTATTTTTTTTCCAAGATATGCCAGTGGCAATATAAAGATTGAAAGTACATAAGAATAAAATTATTCATGTCTGCTGGGCTTGATTGTTCAAATAACGTTTTATTTTCTATTTTAGTTTATTATCAAAAAGCAACAAGTAACATGATTTAAAAACATCTCACTTAATACAAGTGTGTATCTTGAAAGTATGTGTAAACAATGCATGAAAAAGAAATCCCTCAAATGATTGATGGGATTTGAAAATAAAATGGAATTGTAGAATTAATGTATTATCAATCATGAATATATAAAGTGTTTCTGTTTTTGTCTGAAGTATGCCAATAATGATTGAAAGAACATAGGCAATATGTACATCCCATGTAATAAAAGAGGAAATTGGAAAATTTCCATTAGTACTAGCCACCCATACTGACTGATATATATTTAGCCAGCACTAGAGCTATGAAATCTATGCATTTTAAAATTAAAATAATTTCTTGACTCATCCCAATTCATTCCTAGTTGATTAAACCATATTGAAGGACAAACAAACAAACTTCTCTCAGCTTATTGTAGGATGTATTCTACACAATTAAAAAAAAAGAATTAGTTGATTTAGTATAACTACATAATTTTTTTAGCTATGCAGGTCACAAAAACAAGACATTTTTAAAAACTAAGCATGCTACAGTTCCTGTATAAATGTAAAATTCTAATTACTTTACAGCCACAAACACACACACACACACATTTCACACTTTTGTTAATTACATCACATGTTCTTAATTACACAGTTAATATTTTTAAAACATTTCTACAAACATTTTTTAAAGCAACATCTACAGTAGGTGTGCTTGATCGACTGCTAGAATCTTGACCATCAAGCCCAGGTAGAAGATCTGGTAACACTAGTGGTTGGATGGCTCCATATGGTGATTTTCTTCTTTTTGAGATAGGTATCAGATCTGGGGGCAGAGTAGGAGGAACTGGGACGTTTTCTACAGCTTTGTACACTAGATGCATTGCCTAAAATACAAGAGCATCAAGTTCTAAAATTAAAAAAAGAAAAACAATCTTTAGAAGATCTAAACAACTGAAGAAAAGTAAGTCACTTTTTATGACAGCCTCATTACTTAATAATATAGATGCATTAAAACACATCAAGTAGAAAATAAAAACTTGACAATTTTCATTAATGTATTACGAAAAGGAAAATAAGATACGCTTTTCATATAAGTTGGATCTCATAGCACTTTCAAAATTATAGCTTAAATAATTCTGAAGAACAAACCTTACATGAAACTGCTAAAAGACAGGAAAAGCATAAGGCAAAATATATACACACCTTTTAGCTATTACAAGTTTATATGCTTTGGAAAATATCAAACTAAAATGCATTTATGACCAAAATCACAAAACGTATATTAGTGATAACTGAGTTTAATAATTTCATAATATTTATAAAATAAAATTTAACTTATTATTATTCTACAATAATAAAATTATTTAATAATTGACTTTATGTGTTAGTTTATTTGTTGTTTACAACTTCCCACCCAACAGTACTTAAAATAGGTATCAGGTTATATTTTTGGTAAATAATACAAAACTTTAAACTATTAGGTTGCAAAATAGGTGGTAATCTCTAGCTAAACTGAATATCTAGCAAACTGAAAAAAATACTCCACATATTGAACAATAATTGAGCATCTGTTACAACTCTATTAACAGCATGGCAATTACTACTGTAATAACAGCATTATATACACAATAAAAGTCAAGACAACTTCTTTACAAAAGTTAAGAATAATGTCATTTGTTCAAAGTTTAGACATGAGAAGTAATTAAAAGTAATTATCCACCATAAAGTTATTTTATATGTGGAATATTTATGTTACCAAGTCATATTTTGTTGTAATCATTGTTTCTAAGGGTACTTGTACGTGTATCAATTTAAGCTGGTTCCTTGATACACTTCTGGGGGTAGTAAGTGCCTTTGTCAAATACTTGACTGTGTTCTTACAAGCAGCGATGATGATGTATGGAATGAACATCTTTAGCAAGAGTGAACATTCCAGTATTGCACGACCTTGTAGCATTTTGAGGTTCACTTTTTTTTCCCTTCAAATTTACAGGTCATTTAGTGGTTCTCAAGATTTACTTCAACACATATAAATATAATATGCTATTTGCAGTATCATGAAACTGGGTGTGTTTTCTTTCTTATATTTTTCTGAGCTAGTATGTTAAGAGTTCTAATTGTCCTGAAACCTCTCTGTACGTTGCATCAACTAAATACTTTCTTTGCCTGGTCTTGGAAAGTGAGAACAGCTTGACTGTTTTTGGATAACTGGCTGAGGAAGACCAAACATGTTACCTTTCCAGCTCCTTGTTTATAACTGGTTACATTTTGGCCTCATAATCCTTCTGATGGTTCCATTTGTACATTGATTAATGTTAAAAATTTACTGTAGTGATTTTAACTTTTCCTCTAGATATATATCATATGTGGTTCATCTGAATCTGTCCATAAAGGTTTTTATATCTATTGTAGTTACTAAAGGATGGTAGAATGATGTAGGTAACTATCTGGATAAGTAAGTTTTTATAAAATCCAGAGCACATTTGAAATCTATAACATCAATAGTAACTGTCAAGGAGGACGGTATGTAATATTCTTTGTTGGTTAATTATCAGTTGTACATTAAAACACCCGATGAAAGTTTCTGAAATTGTGACAAAGTTCTTTTAAATAAATAAAAAAAACAACAGGGGAGAAGTTCCTGGACCTCTCTCTCTCTCTCTCTCTCTATATATATATATATATATGTATAAATAAATGGCTTACAAACTAATGATTATATTGACTGTTAATAAGTGATTAAATCAGCACTATAAAATTCAAGCTTCTGGAGGTGCCTGTCAAACATTTAGGAAACACAACTTGAAGGTAAAACTGTGGATTATATAAGCAAAAGTGACATAACATACTAGAAGAAGTTGATAGCAAATTTTTCACCTACACCTATTAAAACCATATTTGAGTAAACAGAAGTAAACTACTTTGAAAAACAATGTTTCATTTATTTGTTTGAACTAGTTATAAAAACACAATATTTTACTTAACCCTAGTTTCCTTTATTCTTAACAAATACATTTGTTTTTACACCACTGACACCTACTAATATATATTACTTGATACCTTCAAACCCTACCCACTCTAACCATCAAGTTCTTTCCCAAAATAATGAGACTAGGTTTCTCTAAAAGTTAAAAAACTATTTTTCTTGCTTACTTCAAAGTTGTTTTTCTGTTTATTTGTGTGAACACTGCTTAGCCTCATGATTAGCCTGTACCTCATTTTTATTTATTAATTCATGCTGGATAAAACCAGCACTTTCAATATTTTTGGTACATAAGGTGTTTCCATCTATTACTGAATATTATTATTATGCTTTTAACCTTTCAATTTTAGGACTAAGGTTTTATTCACTTTTTTTTCTTTAATAAATTACTATAGGTTCAAATCTTATCTTAATCTTTGTAGCTGCAATACTGAATTCACTGTTAACTTCAGTGTTACTTAGAAAGTTAAAACCTACTCTTTATCATTAATCATTTGGAAAATCCTTAGTTTCAATTGATTATTTCATCTGATTAATAGTTGTTCTTTTTGAAAAATCATTAAACATTTTAATATCTTCAAACAACATGATATGTACAGTAAATGTATGACAATTGTTACGGTTTACATTCTAAACTGCAGCTAAATGAAAAACAAGAAGCAGAAAACACTTACCAGAACAAACTCATCTTTATCTAAAAATCCATCTTGATCAATATCACTTAAATCCCATATCTGTATAATAACAAAAAACTTTTGAGAAAGATAACAGCAAAAGATTTTGTGTTGAATAACAATTTACAAACATGTTTCAAAGAAGGAAACAAATGTTTAACAAAATTAAATTTTCAACACCAAGTCAAGCACCATCTCATAACCAAATGATGATTATGTATGTAGCTGATCTTAACATTTCACATAAACATTAAAAGTAATTTTTTGGTTAAAAGATGGCACACTAAGTATTTTTTTAATTAGAAAATGTGGTTTGTTTATTCAAAACTTAAATTACAACCTGTTTATTATGAACAAATAGCTCTTATTTAATCTTATGATCATTGTATGTAAATTTACATTACTATTTACGAGTTGGAAAATATTTTGGCACAATCTCTACTGACTACCTATAAAACTGTGTATTGTGCCCCAATACCAATTACATAAATGACACTTGGGTAACCTAAGTCTGTTTTCATTGACAAACTGGTTGTGTGCACATGTGCAACATGATTACAAGCAGATGATGAAACTCGATTCCATCCTAGATGACACAATTGATGCATCTGAGAAGATGGATGATGCACCTGATAATGAGTGAGATTGTGACTGGTTCATGCTACCAGGTACAACAATGTTACACTTCTACCAAACAGAGAAGTTTTAATTCACAAAATACTTCATTTTAATGCTTTAAACATGTATTTAATTACAAACGTGAAATTTATGAAAATCAGAGATTAGGCATTTTTACATCCCTAGTCCATGTCTAAATAACCAGGCTGTTTATAATAGAAATGTTTTAAGAAACTGATTTGTCTTTTACGACTGATTTCCATATACCTGGAAGTAAATGTTTCATATGCATAATACTAATAAACATATATACAAAAAAACATAATTACAATGGATAATCCTCATACTTGTTCAGTATGTAACTCATAAACATGCATAAATAGTGGCTTTTAGTACTCATATTTAAGCTCAGCTGGATTTTTTTAATAATAAAAATACTTACTTTTCCTAAAGTTTCTAAAGGGAGTTTTGAATTCATCATAACCTGGAAAGTATACAGCATATAATATATATTTAGAGAAAACTCTGCAGTTTATTTTATTTTTAAAGTACACTTTAACATATTACACATACCATCAAAATCATGTAGAAATTTCAAATTACAGAATCAATTTGAATCTCATAAATACAACAAAACAAGAAACCATATAATTATATTTGCCCTAATTTCCAAAATATTACTGAAGAAGTTAGTTTTACATTTGTTATCATGAAAAAAATAATCATATGTTTTTGTTAAATATGAAACATTAAAATATGCTAGTGAAATTTAAATATTAATATTTATCAGTATAAAAGGGTTTCAATCAGTTTCAGATCACATTTGAGCAAATATATTCTATGTTTGAAAAATTAGTACAACAGCAGCTTAGAGTAACTATCAACTGTGCTACAAAAAAAAAACCTAATAGATGAACTGAAACACAAATTCCAGCTAAACTACCAGAAGGAGATAGTTAATTTCTCAAACTGCCATCTGTTTTTAATAGAACAAAAATTATGATTATGACTGTACAATGTTAAAATATTATGATGTTATACATATCTCAGAAGAATATATACAGCACAATCTTGGCACAGCTTACTAGATAGTTAATCTTCTTACTATGGCTAGGGTGAAGCAGAGTCTAGATCAAGTCTGAGCAACTGCTGACTCACTAGATAACTTTATTGGCCTGTCACTAGTTTCTGGGTAGGCATATGTTAACTCTCTAATTACCTGTACTGATACTACTTCACCAAAAAGTTTTGTTACAGTTCCACATTCAAATGTTTATTTAGAAAAAAAATTATAAAGATATTTAAATTTAAATTAATTTAAGATATTATTTGCTACTTTTTGAGTGAAATATATTAATGACTTTGAGAAAAAGGTGAAAAATTTGGTGTTTGTAATTGTGTTGTAATTGCAAGATATATTTAAAGATTTTTGTTAAGTTACAAAAGCCCCTAGTCTTTAGATTTTATACTATCATGATATGTTTAATGTTCTATTTTGGAGAGAATTGTATGCAGCCTGCTAAAATCAATTAATGACCTGTCAAAGCTTTTTATGGATTTTATAGCCTTCTACTACTCCAAAGTTGCCTATTTCTGGTCTAGATCTTAAAATAACTTATCCATTAGATGATACATGTAACATATCATTCAAGAAAAACCACAATTCTCTTTCTAATATCAATACAATTGTTAACTAAGTCAAGTAACTTGCACTGATTTTTCTTAAGTAACATAAAAATTATGAAAAGCTTTATAGAGCTTTGAAAAATGTCCTCATACTTCATAAAAAATTAAAAAAAAAACAAGAATAACCTACACTAAGATCAAAATTATTATTTTCTAGTAATGTGTCTTTACACAAATAAATATATACAACTTTTAGTAAAAACGTTTCTTACTAAATGTAAACCTTTTATTCTACTTTATCTTGCATACAATTTACTTAAAAAACAATGACAGAAAACTGTAACAACAGGTATTAACAAAATTTACACTAAAATATGATTTTAAAATAACTTGATGTATTAAAACTATATAACTAATGCACCTTCAAGAATGTTCTAGTGACTTACAGAACACTGATTGTCAAATTTGAGGAGAATAATTTAATATTTTCAAATTCTATGAAGAAAAGAGTTTGAAAATTTTTTTAGTTGTCAGACATAACTGTTACACACAAGCTTAATTAAACTTCTGAATTCATAAATTCTGAAAAGCTTTACTAATAACTTCTATAGTGGGGAAACATACAGGTTTTACTTTATTTCCAGATAGCTTGTGGTCTTCAGGTCCCAAAGCACTGAATATCTCTTCATAGTTTGACCTTTCAGAAGGCTGTGAATATAACGAAAATCTTTAATACATTACTTGTGACTCCTGAAAAATGACTTATATAATATTAATTCATATAACTACCTGAAAAACTCTTATATTTTTTTTTGATTTCATAAAAAGGGCAGAGGTCACTCAAGAGCAATTATTTTGGAAGTTAAAATTTTCCTAATTTGTCCAAATCCCCAAAACAAACAGAACCATCCACGCAGTGAGAAAAGGTGATGTAAGCAAAAGCCTGACTATCTCTTCCATATGGTGAAGTCTGAGGGGAGATGGTTAAGCCCAACCCAAATGAGTGTTGAAAAAAAAACCCTAGATGGAACAGGTATGTAGTTGGCGAGAGAATGGATTTTTCCAATTTGATAATGAAGCCCGGCCTTTTGGCTTCAGAAAAGAGAACCTGGGTATGTTGTCTGGCAATGTGAAGGGTTAGTGTTAAAAGAAGCCAATTGTCCATATAGTGATGTGTGCACAGACCCAGAGAATAGAGATGTCGAGCAAAGGCCCGTACTACTCGGCAAAAGACATATGGTGCTGAAGCAAGTTCAAATGGGAGAGCTCAGAACCACAACACTTGTTCATCATGCACAAAATGTAGAAATCGTTGAGAAGATTGTGCTATGGGGATGTGAAGATAGGCATCTGCAACATCGAACTTAGACATCCAAAGACTGAATGTGAAGTTCCAACAAGGTTGAAGAAAAGATTCTATGGTGAAACAAAGAGGCTGAAGGAAATGAGTGGTTCGAGACAGATCAATGATAGGATGCCAATCTCCAGTTTTCTTGGGCACCAAAAATAGATGAGAACAGAATCCTGGATGAATGGGATCAACCTTCTCAATGGCTTGTTTGATGAACAGCTCCTGAATGGCCCAGGAACAAAGGTCTGCACGTCTGAGGTCTGAAGGAGGAGAAAAAACAACTGGATGGGAGGACAGAGGAGCCGGAGAAGTAAACTGAATCTTGAACCACAAATCCAGAACACTGAGAACCTAAGGACTGATGGTGAAGGAATGCCAAATGTCGTGAAAGAGATGTAACCGTCCTCCCACAAGATTAGGTGAAAATAGGTAGTCACCAACACTGGAATATGGACAGAAATTATTCTGAGAACCAATAGGACAATACATTGAAGGAGGGGGCTGTGAGATTCAAATGGATGATCCTCCAGAAGTACCCATTGGAGTAGAATAGAGGCGAGCAGCCAATGATAATAAAGAAGACTGCAAATGTGCCAGATGAATTCAAGCTTCTAGGGCTTCTGGAATTCCAGCAAACAAGTAAGGCCAAAGAAAAGGCACCTCCCATAAATCACAAAGAGCAGTGGAGGGCAAAGGAATACCCTCCAATAAGGCATCACGACTCAATAAGTCCCAACAATAGACCAACCACGACCCCAAGAAAAGGCTTGAAGAGGACAAATGCATCATAGTATTAACCAGTAAAGTGTCCAGTTCATCATCAAATTGATGAAGAGAGCAGTAATATGCTTCAAACAAAAGACGAAGGGAAGAGAAGTTTTGTAAAACAGTAGTAAGAGTAAAATGAATCTGCAAAAATTGAGACTTGTTAAGAGGGATAACAGGTTCTAACCTGGAACCCCATAGATCCAACTACTGAATGTCCAAATATACATCATCCTGATGATGATAAGCCAGAGCATGTTGTTCAGATAATCAAGGGGGGAAGGCATAGCAATACCCTCACATAATTGTGTTGCAAACTTACCTGCATGCACAGCAATATCAAGGGAAAGAGGAAGAACAAAGTAATTCCCCTGAGATCGATTGGCCAACAAGGCAGGGGTAGACTCAAAAGCAACGGGGTTATTCCCCAAAACTTCACAAACTTGCATAACTAACTGCAGAAAAGGGGCAGAAGGTGACTGATCAGATGAGCCCTCAATAGAGGGAGCCCAAATGAAAGAAGGAGCAGGAAACAGGGAGTCTAAATTCTCCCCAGAATATTCAGGCTCATGATGAAAAGCCAAACCCCGGGCCACGTGAAGGACTCCATCTCCCCCTGAATCAGGTCACAGACAGATTCCACCGAGAGTGGATACCCCCCTGACTGCTGACTACCACCAGATAACAAAGAAGGAATGGATGAGGGCTGGTTAGTCTCCATGCCTGAAACCATTACATGGGAATTCATACCCATTTTTTTTTTTTGTAACCGCAGAAGATATTAGCAACAGGGAAAAAACTAAAAGAACACCTGACTATTATGAAACTGAACTAATCAAAATGTAAACCACAAAACATGTCTCTCAATGCACGCGGTTTGTCGAGAAAAGTGATTTTATTGTCTGTATACAGTGCTTATATACAGTACCTGCATAGAGGGTGTGTGAGGGCCGGTGTAAAGTTTTGCAAATTAGATATTGCTGAGGGAAGTCAAGTGGGGTATATAAAGACTGGAGCAAGCGAACACGATGCTTAGATGGCAAAGATGGAGATCTAGAAATAGCTAAAAGTGTCGGCGGAGGTATGTATGTTTTGGAACTATAACATTATGCAAAAAACACACAAACACACCTATTTCTAAATATTTGTCTTAGGTCTACTTTATAGTATATATATCATATTAAGTCAATTTTATATGGAGTGAAATCAAAATTGTGTACTTTTAAGTTACACAAAAATGTTACACCAGTTAATATGTATTACAATATAAAGTTACTGCTTCACCAATTCTTTTTTTATATTTTGCACTGACTAAAAAAAAAAAAAGTAGACTATAGCTGACAAAACAAAACAGAACTTCATTTCTTACTAGCTTGGAAACCAGTTAAAATATTTTAAGAATGATATAAAGATTTTGTTCAACAGCCAAGTCTGTTTTTAAATCATAAACTATGCAAGATGATTTCCTGAAGTTTTTTATTTTTACTTTTCTTAAATAGCAAGGAACTTGCTTTTGAAGTGTCTATATTTGAAAAGCTCATTTCTTAAAATGGTAATTGAAAAAAAATCCATTACCTGATAAATTGAATAACACATGACACTCCTAAATGATTTGTGAAAATGAATCAGGGTTTTTATTAATAGTCTGACACTTTGAATATTATGAACAGAATTACTACGGTTTCAAAAATCATGTTTCTTACAACTTTCTTGAACTAAGTCAAAAACTGACTGAAAGTTAAATACTTTTTTTTTTCTTTCTGGTCTATTTGGAATAGTTCCTGGGGCTGGTTTTGAAGTTATGTTGCAACATCCTCTAATGACATCCTTAGATAAATGCCTTTTGAATTATTTCCAGTATTTTGTTGATAAAATGTTGTGCATAGATATTTTAAATTTCATCAAAAAATACTTTTCTGGAAAAAAAAAAAGGTTGTGTACAATTTACCAAAATTATAATTCCATAAATACTGACTTCCATGTTCAATATTTGGGGTTACTCTAATGACCTGTACAGCATTTTGACCAACACATTTTTGTTATCAAAAGATTTATTTTCTTCAATTTAAAGAATGCCTGCTACAACCACGTGGTTTAGTATAAATCATTTTCAATACCATGATTTTATGTTAAGAATAAATGTAAAAAAAAACTGATACTTACTTTAATAGACCAGTCTAAAGCTGAGGTTATTCTTCCTCCTGTTCTTTCCTATTTTACAAAAGGTATAATAACCACTTAATGAAAAACTTCTATAATCATATAAAGCACTTAAACATACATATATATAATATAGAAACAGTTTAAACAAATAAACATCTCTTTCTTTCTATCTAAGAGTTTGATTTCACACACTGCTTTTGATATTTAGCTTTTCTCATGTTAAATTAAACAAAAAAAAGGGAAATTGGTCACCTGTAATTTAAAAAGTTATGTTATTTATAAATCTATAAATGGTTTAGCTGGAATTTTTTAAACATATAACATAATTTATTCAATCTATTTACTCATTAATTAGCAATTAACAGATTATCTATTTAAAATTTTTTCCTGTCAAATACCAATAATTATCCAACTATATCACCTGATACCAATGCTGTTATTAAGTATTAGAGCAGGTAAGATACCTTGAACTACTGATTTTTACTGGCTATATTTATAATAAAATTAGTTCAAAAAATAAATAAAAAGAATAAGTCATAAAAAAAATACTTTGCACTACCACTTCTAGAAACACTTAACAAAAAACAAAACCAAACACAGACATGTATTAAATTTTGAATTGTAACTGTTACTTTCACTAGTTTATAGTAGAACCATAAAAAGATCAGCATAAAAATATTGAACTTATTTAACAACTTTCCCACTTAATAGAATAAAGATAATTTTTGGCTTTAAACCATAATGTTTACATTTTCACAAGCAATGCAGATTATGAAAAAAAAAAAGTGAAAAAAAAGAAATTGGTGCAGTATATTTTGTAGTAGTTGTGTGATAAAAACTATTGATAATAATAATTTCAAATAATTCACTTATTCGAGTAATAAAAAAAACAAAAACCTCACGGCTTTCTAGTTATATTTAGTATAACAAATTTGCGAGTGATTCTTCTTCAGAAAAAGCAACATTTCTGCTATATCACAAACCAGCCCGTTCCTCTTCTCATCCACAACATGTGAGGCAGTGCCAAACAACTGTTAGATGCCAATGCTGCTGCAGAGGGCAAAAGGAAACTTCTGTGCAGCTTCAGCCCAAATCAGAAAATGGTCTTTATTGCTACCTAGTACTGCAGGTTTTAAGCAATTACTGAAAGTATGGGCTAACTCAAATAACTTTTACTGAAGCACAACATAACACTGAAATTAATTCCATCAGTTTCTAACCCATGGCACTTTCCTCCAATATTTCATCATGCAACAAACACAGGGTACTACTGGGTTTTACATAAGTTCTTTTACCTGCTTGCTTTGATTTCCTTATGACAGATTCTTTGATTGTTGTGTATCCTATGTCAATTTGCTTACATTTGTTCCAGATGTGTCAACAATATTTGCATAGCAAGCAGCTTTTTGTCAGTGTTGGTGAAGTATCTGTCCTTGTATCTTGGATACAGCAAGGTTGCAATTCAGTAGTAGGATTCTGACTTCAGTGAACAGCACTTTTATGGCCAATATAGTTTTAATTCTGTGTTCTAAATTTGTAACTTTGTTTGAGTCTTTATAAAGCTATTATGAATGGGGTAACATCAGGAATAGAGGAGTTTTTTGTAGTTGTTGAATTTCATGCTAAGCTACTCTATGGCTATTTGTCTTAGCTATCCGTAATTTGGAAGTGACAGACAAAAGGGAAGGTAGCTAGTCAACAACTCCCCCTGCCAATTCTTGGGCTACACTTTCTAAATGAAAAGTGAGATTGACCATCACATTATAATGCCCTAATAGCTGAAAAGGTGAGCATGTTCAGTGATAGAATCAAACCAGCGACCTGCAGATGGAGAGTAAAGCACTCTAAATACCAGCTATGGCTAAGGAGGAACTTATTTTACACATTAATTCTTCAAAAGGCACTAGGACTATTACTACTATTTCAATCAACATCCACTAATAAACAGTGAGGGTTGCAAGGATTTCATAATCAGTAGCATAGGCTCCAAGAACATGTTTCTGTTCCATAAAGCTTTGCAGCATGTAGTTCCACCTTGTCTTTACATCCTGCTGTAACTTCTTGGAAGACATTTTAAGCTCTATCTGCAGCACTTGCAATTAAGAATAAGTCAGTGGAGAATGTTTAAAGCCTCCAACAATTTTTTGTTTGATAACCAGTATATCAAACAGATTACAGTGTGGTAATACACTTTTATTCACAATAAACTGGAGTATGTGCTACACAAGGCAAGCATGGCAAACCAAAGCCTAGAATTACACTTGCAACATTTGAAAAGTTTTTTGGTGTACAAAACTTGAAGATAGTTTTTATATGCGGAAACATCTGTTAGCTGTGTTCTTGCACAGATCTTAAAATATAACGTTGATAAACGGAAACATCGGCACATGTAGATATGCAGATCTTGAAAGTCGAGTTGTTCAAAACTTTAAAATAGCGTTGATAACTGGACCAATTTTTGGTTGAGATGTTGCAAAGGAAATATCTGCTGAAGCTTTCCGCCAGACATTAATCATAGCAGAACCATCTGGAAAATGATCTACAG